AAATGACATTTTATGAAGTGGGATCCCCTTACACTAGACTCACCGTTGGCTGACCATAATATCAAAACTGGCAACCTGTAATACAGTTAAGCTTCTGACCACCAGAGGCGCTAATGCTCCCCGTTATTACAATCCATATAATGATTGCTGCAGTTATGCCCTTTATGTATGGTGGAAGCGTGCCAAGTTTGAACAATATGGACTTACACTACCCGACTGCATCAAGTAACACATTCTCTTGTGTCAACTACATTTACAAAACCCTGTTCTTAAATGCAAGCCATGCTCTGAAACTCTCCCTGGACAGATGTAATAGGACCCATTATCACCACACCAGAAATAAACATCTCTTTGATATCCCCAGGGTCAAACTTAATCTGTGTAAACACTCTATGCAAATTAAGGGACCTAGTTTATGGAACTCACTCCCTAGTGAATTGAAAAACTGTAAAACTTTTGCCTTATTTAAAAGCAAAACCAAAAAGTACCTAACTTCATCTTCTTAGTTTCCTACACTGAGCTTTAAATTTGCCCTGTACCTAGTGTTACCCAATCTCCTAATTTTTATGTAATTTCAAACCTTATCATTGTGTTCATTGCTGTCTTCTTTTATGTGCTAGCCATATGCTGTATTGTGACTACCAATTTTTGTCAACTACCATTCAAGCTGTCATTGCAACCAATCTTATATTGTTTTTGCTGTATTATGCCTACCAATTTTTTTGTCAACTACCATTCAAGCTGTCATTGCAATCAATCTTAGCTACCTATGTGCTTTAATATACTGTACCTACAATTTTCTCTCATCTTTTTTTTTTTCATTTCATGTCATCTGTTATCATTTTTTGTCTATAATTTTGCAAGTATTTACCTCCTTAAAATTTTCTTAGATTAAGGACCTGCCCGAAACGTTGCGCGTGCTAGTGGCTTTACAAGACTGTAATTACCATATTTGTATCCTCACATTCCTTATGTACATTCTTGTATATGCATAAATAAATAAATAAATAAATAAATAAATAAATAAACACTGCTAAATAAGTACTGTTATTGTCATGAACCCGAAAGATCAATCACTTGTGGATTAACAATAAATAACACGATGTTATAGAAAGTAAGTATCAAAAGAAGGCACCAAACTGGGGAGGCTATGTAGCACCTTCAAAAGTGCGGGATATTCAAAAGGCGCTAAATATCACTAAGGATGCCAATATGAGAACAAAAGCGCATAAGGCAAACAACATCAAAGGCATCTGATTCACCAAGGATACTATAGAGGGACAGGTGACCGCAAGGGACGGTCTGGAAACTTGACGTACACTCATCCTGGAAGTCAGGACATTCAACAAGGATATGCACAACCGTAAGAGGGACAATGTAATTCGGACAATAAGGAGCAGGGCAGCGCTCCATTAAGTGTCCCTGAGTTAAGCGGGTATAGCCAATATGTAACCTCGCCAGATATATTTCCCACCACCGGTTACGGTGGTAGGAGGAAGGCCATGGGGAGACACTACCTTTAAGAGCATGCAGCTTGTTATCAGTAACAAAACCAACGACCTTGCCATTGGGAGGGAAAGGATTGAGGAATGAATAACTGGGTAGAAGTCTGAATAAGGAATACCTTTATGGGAGATGGGACAGGTGCAGATAGCTTCCTTAGCGGCAGCATCCGCACGCTCATTTAAGGACACACCAATATGACTGGGAACCCAGCAAAACTCAACTGTCTTAAATCTGCTGGAGATAGGAAACAGCCAATATTGAATTTCGATGACCACAGGATGGACAGGATTAAAGGACTCCAGAGCCATGAGGGCACTGCGACAGTCAACTACAACAACAAAGGAAAAATTATGGCGAGAAAGCAGTTGACAAAGAGCAAACAAAATTGCACAAAGTTCAACCATGAAGATGCTAGTCTCTGGAGGCAGGCGACACATATTGGTGCAGTCAGGAAACACAACGGAGTAGCCTACACCGTCACCTACTTAGACCCATCTGTGAAGACAGAGATGGTGCGAGAGTATGAAGAAAAGTGAGCAAGGAAAAGGCATTTCAGAAATATGGTATCGCGATACTGTATTTTGTCCCAACTCTGTTCTTTTCCTTTCAAAAAGGAACGCAACATTACATACGTCTTTTCCAGGTCAAAAAGGACAGAAACAAAGGTCTTCGCAGCAAAGCAGTACGAATATAGACCTCCGAGTTCACGAGGACATCAGTCATGCTGCAACACTTGCGAAAGTCAAATTGATTAGGGAAGAGGAGGTTATAGCATTCCAAGAACCACATTAGACGGACATTGACCATATGCTCAGAGTTTGCAGATGCAACTCGTGAGAGCAATGGGGCAGAAATCTTTAGGGGATGACCTTAGAGAACCAGGTTTTTGAATAGGAAAAACAACCGCTTCAAGCCAGTCCTCAGGGACTGACGATGACTCCCAGACATGGTTATAAACACTCAGTAAAAATTGAAACGTGCATGGAGGGAATATGGCAAAGCATCTCATAATGAATATCATCCAAGCCCGCCGCCATAGAACCCCAGAGGGCCAGGGCAGATTGGAGTTCTGAGAGAGAGAAAGGATCATTATAGGAAAGCCAAAGAGAAGTGCAAAAATCTAAGGAAGAAGATTCAAGAAGGGACTTACGAGTAAGGAAATGAAAAAAAAAGATGAGAGCCGGAGCCAACAGTCAAAAAGTGAGAACTCGGTACGGTCGCGACCGACACTGGATCCGTCACAACAGACTCACAGAGGTGAATGACTGGCGAGACATCTGGAACAAACTTACCTATCTTGTGAATTTTCTGACGTTATATAAAACAATTGCATGGGTAGCCATGGTCGTATCAAGAATGTAAGAATTCTTGTATATATAAATAAATAAAATAAAATTATATCAGATACATGACCTCTGTATGCAGAGAACTAGGACATCTGTAACAATTGAGTTGGTAGCCATGGCTATTCAATTGACCCCGTTTGTGTGTCTCATTATCTACAATTATCTAACTATGTATCAAAGTTTACAAAGCTACATCACATTTATCCTCATCATTACTTTCCTTCTGCCTGTGGTACAAAAACCTCAGGAAGTCGTGGTCAGCCACCTGCGGTTATGACAAGGATAAATGTGAATGTAGTCATATGTTTGGAAGTAAAAGACATGGGTATGGAGCCTTGATTTTGTATAAGCACTGTCTCATATCAGCCGCTAGCCCACGAGGCTAACCCAGTTTGATTTACCTGAAAGCCTCTGTACAGGTGGTGGTGGTGGTGGAATCTGAAAGACTGGAGATATTCCAAACTCAAATCTGATGTGTCCAGCAGTGATGATTTTCATCAGTGCTGCAGAGGGATCGAATCATTGAGGGAGAGATGTACGATGTACTATTCAAGAGGGAAGGGAGGAAATTGTCAGGGGAAAGTGCCAAGCCATTACGACTATATAGCACTGGGAAGGGGTCAGGATAAGGATTTAGGATGGGACAGGAGGAAGGAATAGTGCCCAACTTCTTGGACGGTCGGGGATTGAATGCAGATCTGCATGAAGCGAGACCGTCACTCTACCGTCCAGCCCAAGTGGTTGGGTGCATCGTTGAGAATTACACTACCCCTGTAGCTATACCATGTGTAAGATATATTTATTTTGTGCATGAGACTTGATGCCAGAGTATTCCCCATTGGAACTCCTGAAATCCCTTTGTAACTGCAGCAGTGTTAGGAAGTCATATAGTGAAGTGAATCATAAAAACCAATAGCAATGTAGAGTGTACCTTGAGTGAGTGAAATATCATTCAGCAGGATGGTTACATGTCAATGTGATTAGCTTTGTGTATGATGCTTTAAATAGAGATGCCCCTTTTTCATTTACATTAAATTTTCAACCCCATCTGTGAACCATATTCACGCTAGCAACTACTCTAAAAATTTTGATGTGTACCGAGACTTTTGCTCCCTGCCTATATACAGGTTGAGCAGACATAACCAATATCCAGTTCATTTGGATGCCTGTCACATGTGGTTTTCTTACAAAAGGAGCAGACACCTTACAAATGGGTCCCACAATCGAGTTGTGTACTATTGTTGTAAAATTGTTACTCCTTAGATGGCCTCTTTCAACTGCCAACCATATTGTAACTGGTGACATTGCAAGCAGGTGGGAGGGAGTGGGGGGTGGGGGGGGGAAGAAAGAATATCAAACAGTGAATAGAGTATACATATCTCCATGCATGGAAAATGAGAAGGCAAAGCCACAAATCAGTGTAGATGTATTTCACTTGTGCACCACCACCACAAGCAGAAGAACGGAACACAATCACACTTACCAGCTTCCTTGCCACATCAAGGCAACACCTATGAGGAGGAATAAACTGAAAAAGGAAGCCATATCCTTGGTTCATTTTGCTGGAGTGAAGAGGTGAGCATGTGTTGTACATGCAGTTTTAAACTATTCATCAAGTCAGAAATGTATTATACATGTGTTATATAAGGGTCTAGTAGTGTCACAAAACAAAATTGAAATGAATGGTCAAGGAAGTGAAATTTTTCACAATTTTGAGATCAGATAATGCCATTGTTATTGGAACGCAAAGTGGAAAGTAGCTGTCACCGATACTATCAGCTCAAGTATTAATGAGACAAAATTTTGTATGCGGATAATTGTGATGAAAATATATCTAGCAAATCAAGCGGTGATATCTAACAATATATTTATTCATATACTGTCATTATGTATGTTATCCAACATCATCTCCAACAAAGATACACAGGTAGCAACTTCACTTGCTCCACATTATTCATAAAAGATTCACAAATAGGAGGTAGAGACTACACAAAAATTGGTCTTATGGATAACTTTGCATTTCCTTCACTAGATATTGTGCATCACTGACCCCTAGCAACAACATTTGTAAAATACCAGTATTATACCAGGTATTAATTTCATGTACAGTAATTGTAACTACTCTCATATAGGATACAAAACGACAGATACACAAAGGCTTTTAATCTATTTCAGATGACAATGCAGACACAGTAAAATCACAGCTTAAAAACATCAAACAAAAGCTTAGTTGCTATGGCTTCTTGTCCATTCGGGGACATCTCTGCTGGATAACTTTTAACTCAGCATCAATAAGGGTACAAAACTTTCGTTTTTTTTTTTGTATTTTTTTTAGGAAATACTCTTCTACTCTTTGACCATTTCTGATTCCCTGGGCCAAAGTTCTCATAAGAATAGCAAATGGACTTGAGACACTACAATGAGAAATTCTGGGGTTTGTGACATTTAATAAGCAAGGATACGATTGAAATTGATACATAACATTCATACAAAAAGCATAGAATACTTCGGCCTGGGGATGAACCAGATTTCTCTGTATTAGGATATAAACAGGGAGGAAAAATTGAAAAAGTAAAACATTATTGACCTAATACAGAATATGACAAACTCAATGATTAAGAAAGGTAAACTGTTAAATAAAATAAAAAAGCTCAATTAGAGGCATCATCGACTACAAATGAAAGTTGTCACAATGCTTCGGGAAGGACAGAGAAATCTGGCTTTAATGTTCCTTGAGTTCTAGTAAGATGATAATTCTTTGATACAAAATGTGAAAATGAATAATGCATTCATACATACATTTTTTGGTATATGGAATGCTATAAAACATGTTGGCTGGGCTTGGCAAACTTCAGGGAGGAAAAGATGGTTGTCTTGTGCAGAGACTAAAAGGGTGGCAGAATGAGTTGCTGACCTTGTCATGTTCAGTTGATGATTGAAACAACTAGTAAATGAGGGGACTAAAGCATGGTTAAGTTAGTGCACAGGTGGGTGGACTTAATGCTCTGCACAAGAAAACTCAACATTTCTTTTTCTTCTCAAGTCTCTTTCAGATACAGTACAAGGTAATTCATTATTTGGTCCAAGAACGCTGAGAAGACCCACTGAAATTGATCCGAGACCAACATTGTTCTATTTATGACCAACTTGTGCACAATTGCTCTAACACTAGGATGATGATAATAATTAATAATAATAATTAATAATAATAATAATAATATAATAATAATAATAATTATATAAGAAGCCAATGACTAAACAACCCAGCCTGCTCCCACCAAGTATGGCAGTGCTGTTGAGGTTATGTGGTGTGGTGATGAAGAGTTCACACTCTTAATATATTCTTTTAAAAATGTTAATGTTTTTACTAAATGATTTTGTGGGTCCAAAGATAATTTATAGCTATTAACACAGACTGAGGAATAAACTGGACTGGAAAAAGCTTCCATTTGTGAGGGGACATCACCACAGGCGAGACCTATGGATGGGTAGGTGGGTGGCGGGCTGTGGCAGCCCATACTGTGCCAGGGCTGGAATAAGGGGTCTGGGAACAGGAATGGGAGGATAACTGACCTCGGGGGATTTGTGGGGTGGGGCAACATGAGTGAAGAGGCCTGGGTTCAACTAGGAAAACATCTGCATGAAAGTAGTTACCAAGTACAGTAGAGGTATATTCCTTACCTCGGAAGTTATCTATATACACTAACGAGATCAGATGAAGCAAAACTGTAATAAAATTAAAAAGTAGTAAGCAAGCATTTATTGCTTCCTTTGCAGTATAGAATATCATACTTAAATTACAGATATATTAGGGTTTTTTATTTTAAACAGATGTTTTGGTCTCTTCATCCATAGTTGAACCACCATCTACAAACATCAGCACTTAAGAAATCAACTGTCACTTCTTCCAAAAACTTGCACAGCAAGACACCAAGAGAAGACTACAGTTCAGTAACAAACTTGCTACTCAGTGAATGCCTACAATAATGAAGCTGTCGTCACATGTCTAATTGATCTTGCTGTCTAGCTTTCATACAGATGAGCAAATATTGAAAAAGAACTATTTCATTCTTTGAGACATCTATCTCCTCCTTAAGTATCTACACATGTACAAAAAATTTACATACATTCAACACTTTTTCATACAGGGTACAGTATTTCAGTACTGCCTGAGATTCATTTGTGAGTATACAGGCCTGGCTTTTGCCTGCAAAATGCACAGAGTTGCAGTACTGACCTGATATAAACTAAGGGTGAGAGTAGTATACAGGGGGGAGACAAATCAACCACATCCTCATGCACACAATTAAGAGTACACTGCGTAACTCATTATATGAGAACCAATAAATGCTGCCCTCAGAAAGTCTGTGGTGCAATACACTGAACCTTTGTATTTCCTTGATATGCTTCACAGTTGTAGCGAGTGAGGACAAACATAAGTCACTAAGAACATTACAAAATGTACTTTGAGAGTCGGTAATCCACAAATCAAAACAGATTTGCCTGGGGTTCTTGGCACGTAACATGGGTCATAACAAAAACACCTAAATACTCAATCCAAGTCTTCCTTTCACTTTCATCCCATACTATCACACAACTGTCTTTTATGGAATGTTAGTTCTCCCACCACAGTCATCAATAAGACTGATAACACTGCCTTGATCAAGGCAGACTGTCCATCAGTTCTTAATAAGATAGGACATGTCTCATCACCACAAGTGATTGTAGAGGGAGCATTAATTCTACACTGAACACTGGCATTTTCTATCACCTCATTGTTAAATAAAGTCTTGGCACTGTGAGGGTCATGCCATTAATGTGCACAACATTGGGTAGGAGGACAAAGTCTTTTTTTTTCCAAGATTCTGTGAGCATTCTTTAGCACAGCCACTCTTGGTTTATGGCTACCTGAAGGAAGCTATGTGGAGGATGCATTTCTTTACCACATAGGACAATATGGAATATACTGTATATTACACGTGTGAGGTTCCATGAGTATTTTAATACTGTATTAATCTCTCTAAATGAACCACACTGCAGTCCTCATCTTATTAACTGCAGAGATGGACATTAAATTTTTTTAAATTTACAGCCATAATGTGAACAAATTTAATTTCATATATATATAGCACCAGTGAAGATTTCAGACACCCAGTGATAATGTGATTCATGACTGATAATCATGCTGATATTGTAGATTTAATTAACTATTTAAGGCAACATGCATGATGTAGATGACCATCTTGCAACAACATCTCTCTCTCCACATAGACCTTCAGATTATCTTAAGACAGAGGGGGGGACTCCCTCCCTCCTGACCCAAGTCCTCCTGGTTGAGAAATTTATCAACAGTGCGCTTGCGTTGGTATAGAGAAATGTTCTCAATGAGGCAACTCCCATAGGAAGGCTCCAGTTTGAGACTTAATGGTCTTCCTCCTCTTCAGATTCTCCATGGCCATACATGTCTGCTAACTTGCTGAAACGTGGACCCCAGTTGTTCAAGTAATCAAAGTCCTGTTCGTTGTCATCGGTGCCTGTAGACAAAAATAAGTAATGAAATAATTACAATAAAATAAGCACCAAATTGCAAATGTTGCCCACTCAGTAATGCTCAACAAGTACACTACAAAAATATCAATCACATCCAAAAGGAACTTCACAATAACAATTTGAATAATTGAATATTAAAGGCAAGTAAGACCTTGTTTTAAGAAACCTTGCTCTATTGAATTCCTGCACGTTCCAAACAGTTTTTAGTCAGTGTAAATTATCCAGTGAATCAAACAAATGTTAATTTCTGTGTAGACTGTTTGCCTAAGCCACCCAAACCAGACGATTGTGACGCCTCCACTTTAGCAGACAACATATTCTAATTGCAAATAATTGTACAGTGTATAAAATCTTTTAAACAAGCTTTAAAACATTATTTTACAAATTATATCAAAGAGTAATATTTAAGCAAAAATATGCAAAAAACAGCCAAAAGTGAATTTGATTGTGGTTTACCCATGCCCAAAGGAATCATAACGCTAATTTCAAATACTTCAATATACTTCAAATACAAATACTTTATCAATGGTGTATTGATAAAATTCCCCCCTACAAAAAAAAAATTATAATACAGCTACAAGTATTACTATCAGACAATAATAACTCAAGACTTATACACATATCGACAGACAGAAATGTTTCCAAGCCATCCATGGGTTGAATGGCCATCCAGCCATCCATCCAAGCCTTCAAACACTTAAGAGTTTTTTGGCTGAGTCTACAATGTTATGTCTTGTCTGTCAACAAGATGCCTTACTAATCATAGGTCTAATATCATAAATAATGTCAGAACAAAGGTGGATGCATCTTAGAAACAATTAACAAATTCCTGTAGGAAATGCCAGACCATCTGGGTTGTAATGGATTATGGGCCTGCACTGCAGGTCACGCCAAACAACAGCCGTCTAGATCAAGTACATAATCACAAGACAAGCATGGCTGCAGGCTGGGCTTGGAGAGAACTCCCAGAACCCACATTAAGTATACTCCAAGCATACTGTAGCATTCATGGGGCTGAAGGTGTTACGAAAATGTGGAAATATATTTTCTTAGCTTCTTAGCACTTTTTTTTTTACTAACAATATGGGTAAACTTTATTTTGAAAAGAATATTCTTAGTTATTATACTTATGCCAATATCTCATTTTAAAAAAGTTGTTACTAGAATAATATGAAAACAAAACAAGATAGGGTTACATAATGTATTAATTCCTTGTTATCCTTGATGATCTAACCAGGAGTATTTAATATCTGGTTGGTTCCATTATATGCCGACTGCAAAATTCTTACAGTATCACCGTTGAAAAGGTTGTTAATATACAGGGAGTGAGTGAGAAGCGTGAGAGAACACACGAGTACCACGGTGATCAACTTACCTGAGGCCAGCGACGAAAGTGATCCAGCTGTAGATCCACCTCCTTCGTAAGCATAATTGCGAAGGTCATCAAATGGCGGAGCATTAGGATCATTATCAGCCTTACTCTTGTGCTCACTAATAAATACTCCCACATCTGGCTGACCTCCAGGACCATCTGTTGACATTATAACAAAATTTATATTACAATAATTATAATGAAAATAACAGTTTAATGTCAAATTTATAACATTGTATCTCACATACATTAAATACATTACCTACTAAACAACTGTTCAATTTGCATCGTTTGAAAAAACTGAGAAAAAATTAGCACTTTTGAACATTTGTCATTTACAACTAGTGCAAATGTAGCAATGTACATCTATAGGTGTAACGGTATCAGTAGAGTACTTAAATTTTTGTAAGATGTTTTGAGTTTTTAAGACTGATTCTTGTGATCTCTGGGTTTATAAATAATGACAAAGTTAATTAGTAACATTTGATAATTATAATAATTATCAGAGTAATTATTATGCAACTGTTAAATGGGCACTCCAGCAGTTATTATCGATCAGTAAAAAAAAAAAAAAAAAAAAAAGTTATTTTGTATAGCTACTTAGTCTTAGATTAGTTCTGGAAAAGATACCTTATATTCCCACCACATTGAGTCTGAAACTTTGAATAGAACCATGAGTGTGTTTTACAAGAATTGGATAACATTTTGTACTGTATAGTACAAAATGTTACAGCATACTAATTCTTGTTGAGAACAGGAATCCTGCTAGGCTTTTCAAAGAAGTCATCTGTTGACATTTTCCAGGATGCCACCCACAAGAGTTGACTAACTCCTGGGTACCTATTTACTTTCAAGTGAACCTAGGCACATGCCCAAATGCCACCATACTCCTGCAGGAATTGAACCCCAGAACCTTTCAGTGGCTACAGGTTGAGAAGCGAGACCAAAAAGTTGAAGTTCAACCCCTATATGCAAAATTAGGAAAGTATCAAACAGGAGAGAGCATGATAGGCACAGGCAGGAGTGGGTAGGAGTAATCACCTAATTGTGATTTGTGAGGATGAGCTATGGCTCTATGGTCCTGCTTCTCAACATACAATCTTAAGGTGTACAGGTTCCAGATCCCATCAAATCCACATTAGAAGTCTGTATGGAATCCATCTCCACCACATCACTTTATAGCGAATTCCATTTGTTCTCTATTACGACAATGAACAAAATGATTTCTAAAACCTCTGGCTAATTTGGGTACTGTACTTGGCTTCATCTATGACCTTCTTATGTCCAATCCATTCCAAATAATTTCTCTCTTTTCTGCCATTTCAAATTACCCTGAGATTTATACACATTGTATTCATGTATCTCCAACATTTCTGTCTCCCAGTGGCATGATTTGAAAAAGACAGTTTTGCTCCAGACGATGAAAAAATAGAACAAGAGGGCAATTGAAGCTGGGAATGTCTTCCCAGGCATAAACCTTGGAAGACAAATGAACCAGAAAAAGTAAGCATTCCTTTATTTTAAGATTGGTGAATAAGTAGAACAAGCTGGAGGCTTAAACTTAAATCTGCAGCTTTAAACACAGTATATATCAGTAAGAAAAACTGAACAAGTAGTTACACCTGAAAATAAATAAGTAGGACACAGATGATCCTCTGTACCTGCAAGCACTAATATGTCAGTCCACAAAGACAGCTAGAAAGGAGGAGAGATGGTGAGGGAAGTTAAAGAAGTAGAAAAAGGGAAGGGGGGGGGGGGGGGAGATGAATGGGAATGAAAGAACGGGGATAAAGTCAAAAAGATAAAAAGACAAATATTAGAACTTACATGGCATTTTGCCCATGAGTGGTCCACCATTTCCAATGGCTGGGCCAACAGGAATCTGAAGAGGTGTGATGTCAAAGGCTGTCATGTCATCCTCTCCACCACCTTCATCGTCATAATTAATTATGTTTTCACGTACGTCATCGTATGGATCAGCTTTGGGGAAGTGGCGCTCCTTTTGCCGATTGTACACCACAAACACGAGTACCAATACTTTGGTGAAAAAATAAACACAGATTTTAGTGATAATTGCATTAAACAGCCAAACCTTAAATTATAATATTAAAAAACATATACTGGGCGATATATTTAATCTGCAATCTTGGCTTCAATAAATATACTTTTAATTTAAAAACAAAGTTGATATTATCTACATATTTTATGCTATACTTTCTAAGGAAGTTTTCCTTCCTTGATTGAAAGAAGAATTTTTCCTGGTGAGCTTAAGTAACATAAGGAAGGGAAATGTCTGATCAAATGAAGGCTTTCATTAGCAAAAACAAAATTAGAAAGGATGAAGCACAAGGGCTATATGAAAATTATTGGTCTAACCTTACGGTTATTTGTTTTTTAAGAAATACTGTTGGGGGCGTAAATAGAACAGTGGAGATGTATAATCTGAGACCAATGTATGGTGTTAAGATACAAAATAAAGAATGATAGTTATAAAAAGTTGTGTTAGTGGTAATATTAGTTTTCAATCCTTTCCAAGTGGGCTTCCCTCCAACCTTCACAGCTGGGCTCACTCCCCAACCTTTCCAGGTGGGCTCCCTCTCCAACCTTTCGAGGTGGACTCCCTCTCCAACCTTTCGAGGTGGACTCCCTCTCCAACCTTTCCAGGTGGGCTCCCTCTCCAACCTTTCCAGGTGGGCTCCCTCTCCAACCTTTCCAGGTGGTCTCCCTCTCCAACCTTTCCAGGTGGACTCCCTCTCCAACCTTTCCAGGTGGTCTCCCTCTCCAACCTTTCCAGGTGGGCTCCCTCTCCAACCTTTCCAGGTGGACTCCCTCTCCAACCTTTCCAGGTGGACTCCCTCTCCAACCTTTCCAGGTGGGCTCCCTCTCCAACCTTTCCAGGTGGGCTCCCTCTCCAACCTTTCCAGGTGGGCTCCCTCTCCAACCTTTCCAGGTGGGCTCCCTCTCCAACCTTTCCAGGTGGGCTCCCTCTCCAACCTTTCCAAGTGGACTCCCTCTCCAACCTTTCCAAGTGGACTCCCTCTCCAACCTTTCCAGGTGAGCTCAACCCACCCCAACTTTTTTTTTATATATTTACAGTATATATAAGAGTTCTTACATTTTTGTAAACCTACTAGCACGCATAGCATTCGGGCATGTACTTAATCTTAATTTTCCCTGGAATACGACTCGCCTAATCATTTAACCACCAGGTACCCATTCACTTTTGGGAGAACAGAGGCTACAGTTAAGGATTGGCACCCAGTAAATCCTCTCCGACCAGGATACGAATCCAGGCCAAATCGCTTCCAAAGCACAGGACGAATGTTTTACTACTTCGCCACAGTGGCTGCTAAAGTGGGCTCCCCCATGCCTTTCTCAGTGTGCTTTTCCCCAGCCCTTCTCAGTGGGCTTCCCCAGCCTTTCCAGGTGATAACTCTGATGGATGATGGTCCATGAAACAAATAAATTGTTAAAAGTACAGGATAATGGATGAAAGAAATAATAATTGAGATTATGGAAGAAATATGAGGGACCATCCCTCATCAGTGGACTGATACAGAATATGACCGATTTATGTATTTATTATGAGAAATAATGAAAAGATTACTAGGAACTTCTATTAGAATATAGAATTAATGTAAAGGAAGAGAAATTCCTAAAGCTTCATAATTGAACTTGAAAGTTATAATAATGACTCCATATTGGATTCATTTATGCAAAGAATGTTAAAAAACAAACACAATCATGCATTTCTTTACTCTGTGACTTCCCAGCAAAAACTGTTTATTTAAACTTTCAAATACAAGTCAAAAAAAAAAGAAAAAATCCCTTTGATTTAATGTTAAAATCAATATATTACAACAATGAAATTATTGAAACTTTGCACAAAGAAATATCATTAATGTGATGTATCAAGAAGAAAGTCAGTAGAAGCCAGGATAAGGATTCACACCTGCACACTGAACACATGCTTGAAGACATGGCAGGATGTGCAGAATACCCCCGTTGAAAAACAGAGGTGCAACTGGTACTCTGAGAGAGAACTCTATCAACATCAGAGGTCCGAGACTGTTCAACACGCTTCCACTACACATAAGGGGCATAACTGGCTGACCCCTCACAGTGTTCAAGAGAGAACTGGATAAGCACCTCCAAAGGATACCTGATCAACCAGGCTGTGACTCGTACGTCAGGCTGCGAGCAGCCGCGTCCAACAGCCTGGTTGATCAGTCCGGCAACCAGGAGGCCGGGTCGACGACCGGGCCGCGGGGACGCTAAGCCCCGGAAGCACCTCAAGGTAACCTCAAGGTAAGGTTGGCACTACCCACTGTGCAGGTTCAAATCCTCATCATGGCTTCTACTGATTTTTTTAATTAAGACTTACTTAAACCTGAAATCAAATGTTGTAGCATCTTTCCTGTTCCTGGATCATACATTAATAATGTTATGCATCACATTAGAGTGTAGCTGGAACTTTATCAATGACATGCATTCTACCTGCTTTCAGACACTTGATAATTATCTAAAAATATAGCCAATACTGTACTGTAATTTAACACTTTCGCGCTCTCCGCAAAGGTCACTCAGCCAACCGAATGTGCGCGCTGCGTTTTTATCGCTTAAGCGTAAAAACAAAAATGTGTATACTCTTTTTACTCTTCTGACCTTAGTTCTCATGCTACGTATTTCATTTTGGTACCAACGTGTTCGCAATAAAATTCTCTAGAAGAACATTAGTAAAATAAGTCACGAAACATATAGGGATACCAGCACCAAATAAATAACTACGTAGATGACTCGCCGTGAGCGCCCATCAGCAACAAAATGTTTTTACTCTTGGGATTGTAATCACCTCCACACTTGTTCTACAGCGTTAATTTTGGTATCAATGGACTCGCAATGAAATTCCCAACACGGTGATATGAATATAAGCGTAGAATAATGATGCAGCCCGCCCGCAAGAGTGTGGGAAGTGGTGAAATTGTTACCCGGTATCGGTGACGGGACGACGCACGGCGCTTTGAAAGTTTATACTTATTTCACCCTCATGACATTAATTTTCTATGTACGTCATTCATTTTTATGTTAATGTGTTCGCAATAGAATGTTCTATGTGCCCATAGGTAAAAAATATCAACAAAGCGTAAGTTAGAATAGCGACAAATATAAAACAACGCTGGAACATATCAGTGAGCGTCAAACACACACGAAATATTTTTACTTTTGTTATGTTTGTCAAGATTATACTTGTTGCACACAGTTATTTTTGGTTGTATATTGATCGGAATAAAATTCCCTAAACAGACATATGCATATAATACATGATATGGGGGAAGAATTACCAGTATAAACGGCTAAAGTCACCCACCTGCAACCCGTTTGGGACAAAATACCATTTGATCGAAGTTATCCACACCTTTCATGAACTTATTGTACCATGCAGCCTAGTGGTGAGAAAGAGAGCCTCATAGCGCGCAGTTTGAAACAAACCCAAAGTAAATCGGATAAAAATTGAATTTTATACAAATATTTTAAAAGTTGACATAACTTTATGTCCACTATGCGTTCACGTTAGACGAAACCGAACGCGCCGGCGCGTCCAGATAGCGCGAAAGTGTTAATTGTCCAATCTACCCGAACTTATGGGAAAATGATAATGAAAGTTTTGAGCTACACAAATTTGGAACACCAAAGTTCAAAGTACAGGAGGGTATATTCTAACATGAATGATTAAGCTTTTGTTTCATTACAGACAAGTTTTGTTTTAGTTCACACTGAGTATTACTGAACTCATACAGTACTTATATGCTTTATCCCACTCCTTCCATGTGGTGTGAACCTAGTTGAAGCACAGGCACACCTAACAACCACACACTGACCTCTTGTGACCTCTGATAATCATCTTTCTGTTTACACAGTTTTTGGACATTCTAACATCACATCATGTCAATGTTCTGCAACTCTTAGGAAGCACTTGATACAGGCCCAGACTGGGACCAGAGTTACAAGTTTTGAGAGGGTCTACTGTGCCTTGGTTCCCCATGCTATCAGCAATGCAAAACAGCACACAATAAGAGCAATCAACCACATTGTATTCGCCCCAACATCTGCTCCCTCTCCCCACAACCCATTCCCCAATTTCTTTACATTCCCAGTAAAGAAATTGCCATTGTGGTATAATGCCACAAGCACCTGCCAGTGAGGAGTTGGAGAAAGTTTTTGAAATTAGACTTTTATAAACCACCATCTAAAGCCAAAATTACTTCCCTCATATAATATTTTTATCTATATGCATGGTCAGTACAGTAAAATATACTTCATTTATGTATTAGAGCCGTGTACTGCACACTGTACTGTACTGTACACTACTGTACTTAGATCGAACCTGTGAGCAGAGAATGTAGACCACTGTGCTGCAAGACACTTACTACACTTGTTCTTCAAACTCTTGCTGCCAGCATTTGTCCCATCTTTTTTGGGGAAGGAAGAGGAAAAAGGCAGGTATGAAACACTCAGTAGTGTAGCAAACAGTAGGCAAACAGTGTGGCTGCATGTTGTTACTTGCACAGTTAAAGGTATTGCTTACCTGTCAGTAGTTACCTTTCACTGTTTATAGGGAATTGGATCTAGCACTATGTACCCGAACCCTTAACACCATGTGTATTTTAAATCTTTGGATGCTCGAGTTCCTTGTTATATCTGCTCTTCAAGCCGAGGTTATAGGAGGTTCCATCGGTTGTTTTAATGCATCCCACATGTTGCACACCCACACAATTTATGAGCACCTCCTTATGTGTTTCTCAATACCTTACATTTCCACCCAAATTTTATTGTCAAATTCTCTCTCAATTGGAAAAGGTTGACCTTGTCTATTACCCTCTGTTTTTTGTACATGGTCCAACTTTCCTTCAAAAGTTGTTAGACTGAGTTCCAAGCCAGTCTTTGTAATGTAGTCCTCTTAATACTGGTATAAACCTGATTTCAGGTTATATAACAAAACAGTTATGTATATTTTGGTGTTTAATGAGGTGGAGATTTAATGCCAGCACTACATAAACAAGTACAGTAATTGTCTGATGTAACTGTCCTTGTTAATTGTCTTCAAAAATTTGTTTCCCCTTCCCCTTAAGGAGTTTATACCTTCCAGGCTCTCGTTTTATCTTCAATTCATTACACTTTAGAATTCATGCAGCAGCCTCTACTGCTATTAGTCAAGACCTTCCTGCATCCCACTGCAATTGTCTTTAATTTTATGCATCTCATTTGCTTTGACATTTGCAAACATTCACATGTATTAATGCACCCCTTAACACTTTCGTCCTTTGGGGACGGATTTGATGTCCACAAATAACTCTGCGGATGTCCAGCAGGGATGCATGTGGCTCCAAAATTAAAATATTTGTTAAAATTCCATTTTTTACCTGATCATTATGGGACTAGATTTAGAATGCGCGCCTTTAGATTGCAAACACTTTGATACCAGCATAAACGATGTAGCATTAAAACTGTGAGAAAACTGAACAGAGAACACACATTTTGTGTATAACGCTCACTGGAAACACTCGGCCGATTTTCAGGTTTGCTGTGAATGGCACGCATTTTTTTTTTACTTTATGTGCATACAGTATATCCCTCTAGCGAAATTTATTGTGAACAATTTGATACCAGAATGAACGACGTAGCATGAAAATTGAGGTGAGAAAACTGAACAGAGTATACACGTTTTAGTTGTGGTGTAATTACCTAAGTGTAGTTACAGGATGAGAGCTACGCTCGTGGTGTCCCATCTCCCCAGCATTGTCATATAACGCTTTGAAATTACTGACGGTTTTAGCCTCCACCACCACCTCACCTAACTTGTTCCAACCGTCTACCACTCTGTTTACAAAAGTGAATTTTCTTATATTTCTCCGGCAGCTTTGTTTCGTTAGCTCAAATCTATGACCTCTTTTTCAAGTTCCAGGTCTCAGGAATTCTTCCCTATCAATTTTATCGAGTCCTGTTACTATTTTGTATGCAGTGATCATAATGTCTCTTTTTAGTCTATCTTCTAGTTTTTGCATGTTTAATGCCTCTAACCTCTCCTCGTACCTCTTGTCATAAAAAAGAAGACCCTTACTTCCTTGGGTGGAAGTCTGGACTGCAAGGCCGCGGAGGACGCTCCTACACCTGGGCTATGATGGCTTCTAAAAGGAGAAGTGCTTGACAGATTTGGTCTCGAACGTGGGTCCTTGGAAGTTGCGGAGGACACTCCCACAGCTGACCAACTGTCTCCTATAAGACATTGGTAGCCGAGACTATTTTCCCAACATCCCAACAGCATTTGGTGGTAAACTTGGGCATAGATATTTCATTGAATCACCTCACTTTGTGGGGCCACGTGAGCAACACAAATGCGAACAAGCCTGAATGGTCCCCAAGCATATATGCAACTGAAAACTCCACACCCCAGAGGGATTCGAACCCAGACAGCCAGGAGCACTATGCACATGGCGTACCTGGTTCCTTAACCACTCGACCACCGTGACTGTTCGACCACCGTGACGTGACTTGTGCTGCTGGGTGCTTGCTCATGGGGTTACGCTTGTCCGATTTTCGGGTTTGCTGTGGGTGGCACACCGAGCTTTTTGACCTTATATGTATTCCTTTAAAGAATTCTGTTGCGAACAATTTGATACCAAAATGAGCGATGTAACACAAAAATTGACGTGAAAAAATTGAAAAGAGCAAACACATTTTAGTGCTGTTGCACGCTCACAGGTAATGCTCAGCCTATTTTTGGGTTTGGTACAGGTGGCTCATCAGGCTTTTGGACCTTATATGCATATACCCCTGTAGGGAATTCTACTGCAAACAATTTGATACCAAAATGAACGATGTACAATGAAAACTGAGGTGAAAAAACTGAAAAGGGTATACACATTTTAGTGTGGCCACCCGCGCATCCAAAAAGCTCAGCCCACCTTTGGGTAAGCTGGGGCATGTACGACGGGAAAGGGAAAGTGTTAAGGTGCATTATTTGCATACATTAGAAACAGCAACAGACCTAGGTAAAAGCACTGAGGGACACTGCTTGCTACATTCCTCTAACCTGATCTCTCTCTCTCTCTTTCTCTGTTTCTTGATTGACACATATTCCTTTTCCCAATTCAAGTGTCTTCACTTAACCTAACTTGTTTCTATATCTCATACACTAGCATTTTGTTAGTAGTAGTGTATGGGAGCTATCACACTGCAAAGAATGCAATAAAATGTAAGTAGCAGCATAGTTTATCCATGCTGATCTGCATTAATCTGTACACGACCTGCATAACACCAAAATTCCTCCTGGCACCTCACAACTTGGTATAAAATTGCTTACACATGTTCTATACAGTGTACTCTAATATATTGCAACTCTTATGTACTCTTGAATCAATTTAATATTATGAATAAAAACTTTTACCTTCTGAAGAATCCAGGGGTTCCATTATTTGTTAATATAGCAACTATAATAATTAAGGTTCCTGCAGCAGGTAACTAGGCATAAAATTTTAGTAAGCATAGGTGAATGTACGGCCAGCCACTAAAGATTAGATGGATGACCACAGCTGTCTTCAAATGGAGCCCTCACCAATCCCAGTCTTTAATAATAACAATTGACAAAACTAGTTCATGAAAAACACAACTTACTTAGTAACACCAGAATACAGATGACAATTGCAACAACAAAATCAGTGGAGGGTTTGAGAATGGTTTCCTCCAGAATAATGTTGCAATCCGTTCCATGGAAACCGTCGATACAATTGCATACATAGCCACCCATGTCAGGCTCCAAGTCCTGACATACACCTCCATTATAGCATGGCTGCCATAGATCACACTCGTTGATGTTGACACAATCATCAAGGTTTGGAACAGATCCTTCTGGACAGCTGAGGAATGAATGATTTAAGAATAATATTTACCTGCTTAATCATGTTTGTTACAAGTGAAGTAACAGGAATATGGATGCCTCCACCTCTTGCATGTAAAGATGGATAGATGATGAGCATTTGTACAGTATTCTTCCCATTCAAAATGACAAGAGCATTAAAAAAATAAAAGATAAAGAGATGACAGGACATGCAAGTTACTTACCACCGATCTTATGTTGAAAAGTTATGTTTTAATTCTACTTTAAAAGCTCATGCAAAATGGAAGTTAGCAACTTACCTAATACGATTTAAAACAATTAAGCTTTACTAATGAAGTTGGTGTATACTTGAATGCATGCAACTTGGGCCATATTCTAAAGGCACTTAGGAAGGGCATAAAACGTAAATTCTTATTATACAGCATGTGACCTTGACTTGTATATCTATAAATAACTAATGGTTGAGTAGTATTAGAATAGTTTCTTGCCTGCCTCTTTGTGCAATCTTACCCAAGATTATAAGAAGACAAACAAGAATGGCAGCCAAAGCACCCAAGCTAAGTCGGACAGTCCTGCCCTCCTGTAAGAGTTCACAGTTCTTGCCATAATAGCCTCGTGGGCAGTCACACACGTATGAAGGCTCCTGGTTATGACATGTGCCACCATTCTGACACGGGTCATTTAAACACTCATCCTGGTCCACACACTCTTCTTGATTACTGGACAATATTGTACCATCCTCACATCTAATTTATATTGTAATTGCAATGTTGTACCATGTACCATGCATGTACCATAAGTGCATTAAATAGGAAAGGATAGGTGTTATATGCAATTTGAAGTGCAAGATATTAAAAATGGCGAAATATTAAATTTTACCAGTTTCCAAGAGGACGTAGGCAGCAAAAATAGAAAGAGAGCTTTATTAGTGTGATATAATAATAATCCAATAATGAGTTATGTGCTGATTATATGCCTTGTCAAAAATCAAATGCTGTTAGATATCAAACTTGAAGAGCAATCAAAAGTACAATATGCATTTTACTAAGAGTAGCATTACAGGATGAAAACTGAAGGAAATACTGTGACATTGAAATTTAATTTTAAATCAAGCATTTCATAGTGCCATATCAATGCAAGTTACAAGAAGCTACAGATGAAATGTAATAATAAAATTATAAGAGAATAAAACACAGATGAATGATTTTACTTGAGCAAAAGGGTTCTTGAGGTTCTTGAGGGTAACTACTTCAATATCAAATGATGCAATATTATTGTAACATATCTTATTAACAAACTCTTCTTTACTCATTATTTTATAATTAAAAGTAAATTAAATGGTGTTAAATGTTACTTGAAATAGATAAACCATCTTAGTGAGCTTATTAACTGTTTTCAGTGAAGAACAGACAAATTTTAAGTGGATTTGTTTCAAAATAAAATATTGAAGTGTGTTGTTTATTATCTGAATACAAATATTAATGCATGGTTACTAAGTCTTTACATCAACGTAATTCATTATATCATTACAAATTTACCTTTAAACATTTTGATCATTTTATAAATCTTTTAAACATCTCGCTGACAAAATTAGTGAATAATTTTCTCCATTGGTATTTATAATTGTGAATATTGTATGAACATCTTTAATATTAAGAATAAATTAGTTTACCATTTTTTAAATACTCAATATTGCAAAACTTACCCACACTCGTGTTTCATCCATAGGTCTTTACAAGTGAACGGCGCTAAACAAGTAACATTGACACACTGGTTTTGGGAAACGCAGTTCTTGATCAGGTTACGGAACATGGTAGCTTGACCCCACTGGGTACCATTCAGGCCAGGAGGAAGAGGCAAGTGTTTCCCTTCTAGACGAATGTCATCCAAACATCCTATAATTAGCAGGAAAATTTAATAATACTTCAACTATACAGGCGAGAAATGATACATAAGTAGTGAAAATTGACATTAAGGATCTGTGATTATACTTTCAGAACACAGTTAGCAAATAACACTAAAGCATACCAGCTCTGCTCCTACACAACTTTTATTGTAAATGACTCAAAATACATTTTCTAAATACTAAATATACTCAATAATTCTTATATACATTAGACATTTATTTGGCATCAAAATTCAGTCATTATTCAAAGAGAATATTTTGAAGCCCATAGTATTAGGTGTGAAAAAACAGATGATAAACTCACCAAGTTTGTAATCATTATAAACCTCAAATGTCCTTATGCCTGTGTATTCTGCCTTGCCACCAGCATAAACGCCTTCCTGTTTGTCAACATCCATCATCATATGGCCAGAGAAAGCCATAGTTTCATTATAACGACGACCCTCGCCTCCATCTAGCATTAGTATGGATGTCGATCCATGACGTTCAACCATAACTGAATGCCAGATTCCATCATTAACAGCTACAGCTGACAGCCAAAGATCGTGTTCTTCAGTTCGAAGGCTATTCAGATTATACCGGAAGCGTAATCTGCCATCTTTTATCTCCAAAATTCCATACTCTCGATTATGTTGATCAGAGATTCTGAATAATTCACCATACTCTTGCCATGTGCGGAATCTGAGCTGAATTTCTGTACTAAAAGCATTGGGCTTGAAGGACAAGGCATACTTAACGTAAGACTGTGTCTCAAAGTATGCTGAATTGGTGGGTTCATCACAAGTTGGGCCTGTCCACCCAGGCTTACATTTGCACACTGGGTGTGAGAGTGAACCTGAACAAATGCCATTTGGGCCACAAGTAGGAACTATGGAGTTACTTCTACATGCTTCCTCTAACTGTGGACAGCCCATCTGAGTGTTACGATACTGGCCAGGTCGTGCTAGATCATACAGCTCACTATTGACCATGAGATTTCTGATGCAACCACTAAAGTATCGGCCATGAGGAACATGCAACCATTTATACAAACTAGGGTCAGGCTGCTCATGAGCAAGGCCTCCAACCTGCAATGGTGCATTTACATTTAAGTATTCATTGAATGGAGGTATACTGCCTTTAGCCTGGCATCCTGACGAGTCAAAAATAGGGTCACTGCCATCCTCTGGTTCTTGAGCTTCTGCACCAACACAGTGATCAACATCTATTCTTACATTCTGTAAAAATAAAAACAATGCTTCATTTACATACTTGTACAGAACAATAAATTTCATTAAAATTCAGTTTCAGTATCAAATAATAATACAGTGGAACCTCAGTCTACAAATGCCCCAGAGTACAACTCGCTTGTTTATCTTTGTGTGGGTCAGGCGCGTAGGTTCAGCTGGGCACGGGGTGCAGCAGGCTCAGTTTACCAGTGTATACTACCTAGCGATGACCACGCTGGAATTTTCTGTGAAAAATTTCATTGTTTTTGTGTGTTTCTTCGTTTGATTTAGAACAGATAAGTTCTTCTTATATATCATACTATGGATCCTAAGAAAGTCAGTGGTAAAGTTCAACCTAAGAAATTAGTTGTGAGGATGACGATAGAGAGAAAGATAATACGTAAACATGAAGACGATATATCTGGTTAGGAAAATGTGTTCAGTACGGAAAGAACAGCAAAGTTTTGCTGAAAAGACTCGCCCTGATAAAGCTGTAGCAAGCCGCTCTGTTAACCATTTTAATGACGAAGTGATGTCTCACTACAGACAGGTGTTAAAATGTAGGGAAAAAACAAGTCTCTAGATAGATTCTTAGTGAGACGAGCAAACCAGTGAGCCACAACCAGGTCCTAGTGGTATGCCTACAAAATGAAGGATAGAGAGTATCCCAGAAATGTCATCACTACTTGATGTTATAATGGAATGAGACTTGCCTTCCAAACACTAACACCTCTCCTTCCTCCCCCCCCTCCTCACCATCTTCCATATGCCAACAAGTCCTCAATAAGGTAGAGTACAGTAAAAAAATTAATAGTATTCTGTAATTTTAAGTTAATATTTTTGAGTGTGAAGAACGGATTAATTCAATTTACCGTACATTATTTCTTATGGAAAAATTCAATTCAGTGTACAAATATTTGGTTTATGATCTGTCTCTTGGAAAGGATTACATTCTTAGACTGAGGTTCCACTGTACTATCAATGTTAACTATCAAAATAAAAAGCTTACCTCTGTATCCCAAAAGATATCCACCTTGTGCCACATGCCATCATTAAGATTAGTTTTGGTGTTGACTCTTAACTGCAGTGTCCCAGATCCGAAGTCTATTAAAAGTCGTGGCCGTCCATTTTCTAGTTCTAATGAAATGAAATCAGAAACTATTATTTCATCTGTTTCAGGAGGAGTGATGGGGCCATTGTAAAAGAGGAGGCCATCAGGACGTCTTGTCAAAAATTCCAGGCTGATATGTGAATTGTCACACATTGCTAAAGGAGGGAACCAAGCAAATCCATTTCCTCTGAAAGTCCGTGTTACCATCTGACACCTCGGGCCATCATATCCTTCTGGACACCTACAGTGTACACCTGATTTTCCTTCTATACATCGACCACCATTGTAACAAGGGTTTGGACGGCATGATTCCTCGACGGAAAAGTTTCTAGCTCCACACGTACACTCCGGTACCACTTCTGTCCGTACACCTACTAATGAAGTTTTATTTGCATTTACCATATAAGGTAAATTGGAAATAACTAAATGATTAGTGCATGACCCTTCACAAGCTACATTTTCATATAGACATTCATCAATGCCTACCATGGTAATGTTGATGCCTATTTCTGCTTCAATCTCTGCCCGATGTTGCAAAACAAGACCATCCAACTTAATAGGATGGTAGTACGGTGATCCATGAGCAGAGAAGCGAATGTCTGTAATGGGTGGTCTCTCCTGTCTTAATTGTATACTGAATACATCAACATTTTCTACACTTGTTCCCATTAATCTCGCTATCTTCTCCCTAAACATATCTGCTTTACTGCGTACCACTCGCTGAGTTCTGTAATCCCAAATTCGAATGAAATCTTCATCAGTCATATTTGCAATGCGAATAGATCCAGAGTTTATAACGGCTATCTCAGGAATTTCCTTCACCGTAACAGTGACATTTGCTTCCACATCTGTTTGGGTGTGCTTGCGATCATAAACATGAAACTGAAGAAAATAGGTGCCTTCACCAGTACCATGTTTCATGGTAACCATACCATCATCTTCGTTTAATTTAAAGTTTGGGTGTTGTTCAATTGCCCAATTAAATTTCTTATCTGGTAAATCCCAATCATCGAGATCATACACATATACACGACCAATTGGAGTTTCTGGAGCTTGTCCTTTGTAATTGTAAACAAATATATCTTTAGATCCAGGCTGCATTTTGTTATCATTTTCATCTCCAATAATAATAGTTAGTGTAGATGTACCAGTCATCTGAGGTGTGCCAGCATCTTTAATTACAATAGGCACATGATACTCCTTCTGCACTTCACGATCAAATGTTCTCAAGGAAGAGATAACAGCCATCCCATCACCATTGGCTCCTTTAGGGATATGCTCTACTTTAAAGGAAGCACGGATTTCATCAGAGGCAGTAGAATCCATCCGGAAATGGAAAGGTGGTCCATTTCCCTTTGATCTATCATCATCATCAGTTGCTAATACCTCTACTATCTTTCTGGGAGACTGGTTCTCTGGCAGAACTGGGCGATAATCTTTCAGGAATCTTGGTGAATTGTCATTAATGTCTTGAACAATCACCGTAAGCGTAGCAGTAGCAGTTTTAGCTGGCATACCATCATCAATAGCTAGAATCTTTACTGAATGACGTGGATTTTCTTCTCTGTCTAAACTTCTTTGAATTTTAACAGTTCCAGTGCTATCAATGGCAAATTGTCTTCTTCTGTCAGATGTCCTGTCTATAGCATATAACACTTTACTTTGTCCACCCTGATCAGGATCTGTTGCTTTAAATGTCTCTAAACTTTTACCAATTTCTGCATTTTCAAAAACAGGCACTTCTATATTAGGTTTAACAAATTGTGGCTTGTTATCATTTATGTCTCTCAATTCAACCTTAACCCAAGAATAAGCAACATGATATTTCTCAGCATCATTGTCTTCACCCTTATCATTCACTTGGATTTTAAACCTAAAACCACTACGCTGCATTGGATCTTCATAATCTAACGGCTGTACAATCTTCAGTGATCCTGTGCCATCATTATTTCTCACCATTGTAAACTTATCTGCACCAAATCCAGAAGACTCTATTACTTTATAATGGAACTTATTGGTCTCGTCTTCATCATGAACAGTGACAGTGAGAATAGCTTGATCAGGAAGAATGGCTCCTTCTGTTTCATCCACTTCTGTCTGCCACTCTTCCTTTGTAAATCTGGGTGGCATATCATTGATGTCCCTTACACGAATGCTTGCAGTTCCAGTCCCTAAACAAAAACAACACATTAGTAAAAGCTATACATTAGTATACAAATTTGTTAAAACTGTACAAAAAAAAAAACTTTTATTTTTATCATATAACAAAGTACAGTAATGTAGTTATTGTCTTCACTGCCAATTCCATCCACAACTTTTAAAAGAAACATTATGAAAATGTTAATATTGATAGAAGTACTTGGAATACTAGGCATAAATGGCTAGGAGGCTGTACAAAAAAAGCTAGATCCCACTTCCCTACAGTCACTTAGAGATAAGCACAAATAGAAGGCAATCACTAAGGAGTCTGCAAGTCTGCAAAGCTTATATTATACGGTTATTCAACGTGTGGAATCTACTAATGCTTTCTAACAGTACTTTTCTAATTCAATAAATAAGTTAATTATGGTTCACCTCGTAGTTCCCCATAGTTAGGGGGACAGAAGGCCTATGCCTTCTGCAATTTGTTGGCCTATGAGGACCTATCCAAGTCCCCATAGGCCAACAACTACTGATGTTTACTGCTGGGTGAACAAAGATATCAGGCGAACAGAAATGTTACCCAAGTGCCAATGTGGGAACCTAATGGCTGTAGCCAGACTGGTGTATCATATACAAGTCAGGAGTGTACCAGTGGCAAACTTCATGAAAAACTACTGCATCACCATAATTGAATACCTCTTCCTTGCAATTTTTGTACCATGAAAGTTGGTTGATCAACCTAGTTGGTCTTTCATCCTACTCTAGTACATAATTCACAGACAATACATTTGCCTATGCTGCCTATCTGTTCCATAATGACTACTTCAATATGCCATATGAGGGGCCTAGATCGCTATACTTAAAGATATAACTAGGTAAGCACCAACAAACTTGAGCAAATCCTCCACAACAGAACTCCACTGTTTCATGAGATTAGGTGTACGTATAGTGCTGTTCACAATCAATTCCCTGTTTCTCTTGCTTGACCATAAATGAGAGAAGGGAGAGTTTTCTTCGAAGTGATACTCTGTCTTAAAGAGATTGCTAAGTATTGCCCCACTAATTGCTAGTTAGCCACATGGCTGCTACCTCAGGCTACCAACCCTTACTTTTGCTTTACCTCATCATGGGCCAAAACATTAGTGTTATGCCTGCAATTTTGCTCACATTTGATTGCCATAGATTTTTCAGGTCTCATTTAACACTTAAACTGCACAACACTTCATATGACGTGTTGAGTAACTGACGTAAAAGTGCGCACCCCCTTCATATGACGTTTTGGAGTACCCGCAAGATTTAAATGGCCCACGGATACACAGGGCTCCCTTAGTGCTCCTGTAAACAGACGGCATTTTTTTTTTTTAAATCGTGGGCAACATTCCCGGGAGTGAAAGCCTCAGTACCAAGTGAGCCAGCAAGCCACCAAGCCAGCCTTGGTGGCTTGGTGGCCAGCCTTCAGCTAATGAAGATAGGTATAGAGAGCAGGAGGCCAGTTACAAGGTATCATTTGGGAGATGAAATTCTTCAAGAGTCAGAGAGAGAGAAAGATTTGGGGGGGCTGATATCATGCCAGACCCTGAAGCCCATATCAAAAGGATAACATCAGCAGCATATGCCAGATTGGCTAACATAAGAACGGCATTTAGACACTTGAGTAAGGAATCATTCAGAACTTTGTATACCACCTATGTCAGACCAATCCTGGAGTATGAAGCCCCAGCATGAAGTCCATATCTAGTCAAGCATAAGACTAAACTGGAAAAGGTTCAAAGGTTTGCCACCAGACTAGTACCTGGGCTGAGAGGTATGACCTACGAGGAGAGACTACGGGAATTAAACCTCATGTCGCTGGAAGACAGAAGAGTTTGGGGGGGGGGGTTAACATGATCATGTACAAGAACGTGGTGATCATGAAACCCCGCAAGAGGACAGTGTACCTAGGCGGAACAGAGCCAGCTGCTATGATTGGTGAAAACAAGCTGCACAGTGCCCTGCACCCCTACCAGCGCAAAACTACCCCTCACCCTAAGGCGAATAAGGCCTGCTGAAAACCAAGCAGTAAATGGCCTAGCAAAGGCAGAACCCAAGGAACTTGGGGAAGGTAGCCCCAAGCCCCAAGGGCAGTACTTACAGGGCACCTAGGGAAGGAAACCATAGGCACATGCAGCCCGAGTACTGGGGAATCACTCTCGGCTCACGCACCACCTAGAAGACAGTCACCACACTCTAGGTACAGTGCTGAAACAACCGCTGGAGCCGGAGCACACAACCGCTGCCCATAGCATCAGCCTCAGAACTGAAGGGTGGATAGCCGGGTGGGGGTCTGGGGCTCCCCCTTCCCCCTCCCAGGAGGGGGAAGCTGCGCAGACAGCGGCATGGCGACGTGTGACGTCATGCTTGTTTGCTCGTATCTTTTTGGGGAGTTCTATGCACTTGTTCGGCTTTTCGTAGCAATTTTCACCAGAATAGGGGTTTGTTTTGGGATGCTTACCTTTCTGGGGTGCCTGACCCGGTCAATGTCAGACAAAGAATGCTTTCAACCACACGGGGGTTTCTATAGGCCATTGCTCCCCATGCCTCTCTGAGGGGGCCAGGTTCTGGCTCGTGGTCCCCGGTAGGCCCACAGAACTCCATACACATGAGTGATGCCAAAGCCTGACATTGCTGATTAGCATATCAGCCTGGATAAGCTCCAGGGAGCCGAAGGGACTCCCCTCAGAAAAAGAATGTTTTGTTGATAAGGAGAACAGCTCCCATTAACTGGAACTGATGGATAATGCAATAATATAGAGATGCAAGCACCTGTTCGATGCACAAAGAAGAAGAATTGTAGAAAGATGTATCCACAAAATGGATATACAGCTGGTGCCTTTATAGCATTGGTGAGTAATACATAATAACACAGATAATAATGAGTACGTATGTTATTATGCTCTCTTTTGCTATATATCATATAAATACATTGCCCAATATTATTATCAGTTACGTTCAACAATGTCCAAAAAATTTTTTTTTTAGGATTTTAGGTTTTTTCCTCCTTTGTTTATTATTTGAATTTGTTTTAACCTATACATCCTGGCGAATGCATTTCTGTACCTAACTATGTGAAGACAGAATTAAATTGGTCAACAAATAAATCAGCCAACTCTCAGAACTTGGGACTGAATATTTTTTGGGCAGATTTTTTTCACAGATTTCAAACTCTTATTTACCTTGTTTCTTTAGATTATTTTGATGATTAGGGACCAGATTAGGGCTTTTTGACTTACATAAAGTATACCCTACATATATACCCTAAATCATTATAATTATCCCTATATTTAGTTTTTTGTGGGAGTTATTTTTTCTTGACTTTAACACATAGTGACCTACAACTTTCACATATTTGAGTACGAATGCCAAACAATGTTTATTACAACATACAAGTAAATTCATGAATTAGAACTGCCTTATTCATTGTCGATAACTTCAGCTTCAATTATATCTATAACTAGAATTTCAACTTACTTCAGTTTCCAAAAATCTAGTTTCTGACCGATTCTCACCATTTTTACATATACTAGTAGTGTGCACAGCTGTCTGTTCTACAATCCCTATAGAATTGTTTCTTCATAAACTCTAAACGTTTGGAGTTATGCATTTTTGTTGTCTAAATTTGAGCATATTTCAAATGCCATATTGACAATTCTTTTTTACAGTAAACTATACTGAAATCCTATATTCTAAATATATGAAAGTGAGGATCATATGCTATTCTGAGAGCATAATAATGCCAAATAAACAGTTGGTGATATTTTATATTTTTGCAGCTGATTTCAAAATCTGAAGTTTTCAATATTCAATTTTATAATTATTTTTTATTTTCTTGCTTTTCAAGTTACACTGGTATCATTTAGACAAAGTTGGAGCATTTGCCTAGTAGAATATGCACAAAAAATTTGAAAGTTTCAGAAAATTTAAAAAACTGAGCTCAATGTCACACATCATATGACATTTTGTGCAGTATAAGGGTTAATAATCATTTCCACAATGTTCAAATTATTCACAACTTTACTGTTTCTATATTCAGTGTTATATTATTAAGATCATCATGATGTTCAAAAGACAAATATTATTTTTCTTTAATACACCACTGACAGAATCTAACCGAGTTGCCAGTCTGTCTTTTACAGTGTTTTTCCCGTCCCTTCTTGCTTCCATACTCAACCACGAGGCGACTGATTCACTTATGAAACAAACCAGTGTGTAATATGCTAATACATTTAGTTCAAGAATTCCTTCAAATCTTCTCTCATATTTGAAGAAAACAGCAGCAGTGTCTGAGCAACATTCAACCTGAGGGAAGCCTCACCTCTCAACTCAAAGGGGACAAGGGCATCACAGACATAGATACTAGAGCAAATCTCGACTATTAGTAAATATGAAATGAAAACAGTTACAGAAGAAATACAATTATCTCTTATAAATATATCTATATATACTTTATATACAAAAATACCTCACCTTTTAATCCACCCCCATCAACAGCAACCACTTGTATGGAGTAATCTGGCGTCTTTTCTCTATCCAGGCAGCAAACGGCAGTCTTTATTACCCCGGTGTCTGGTTCAATCTCAAAGATTGGTGTCGCTGTATTTTCATCAATGACATTCTTCTCAATGGAATAGGTTAGTTTAGCATTGGTACCCTCATTTGCATCATCATAATCTTCTGCTGTCATTGTCATAACCACCATTCCTTGTGTCCCATTTTCTGTCACATTTCCAAAGTATACCATCTGCAAAGGAATCATAATTGAATGCTTAGAATGCATAAAATATTCAGTACTGTACCAAGCTTTTACAGCAAATTAAGTTTGTTTGCATTAACATGTTCTCATTCCTTCATGAGCAAAACTAGTGTGCGTACTTGGGGGAAAATAGGGGCATTGTCGTTGATGTCCTTGAGGTTGACTTGCACATCAGCATAACCAACCAGGCCAGTGCCACCTTCATCCTGGGCAAACACAGTAAATCTCCACGTTGGCCGACCTTTAGGATGATCACGATCGAGGGGCTGTAAGACAATTACCAATGAGCAATTAAAATCACACTGATGAAATCACAGAATCACACATGTTAAAAATATAAATGCACTAAACAAATGCTTTTTTATTACCACAATAACAATGGAAAATAAAGTAGATCCAATGAAGCATGAACATATTTTGAGCATAGCTGATAAAGAGAGGTATCCCAAGACACTGATTCCCAGAATATATGTGAACAGTGGAGTAATGGGTACAGAATACTGTAATACATTACAGGAAATACAATTAGTTTAGGCCGGTATAATGAGCACAGGTTGCTGTAAGGATATGAAAGGTACCATGAGTGATGATGGTAGTGTCGATGGTCATGGTGGTTGTGTTAGTAACAATAGTGATGGTAATCATCGATATGGTGGTGGTAATGATAATAGTGATAATGATGGTAGTGCTTACCTATCACAAACTATGAGGGAATGAGATCTAGCTCATTATGCCCTACCTCCTAGCGTTCTGCATCTTTGCCACTTTTTACATATACGGCATGCATAAATTCACTTTTATGCTTCTTAAAATTGGTAAGAAGCGTTCACTTCTTCACCGAGACAGCAACTCTTCCACCTTTTTCTAATTTTTCCATCTTGTCTCCAAATGGTGTAGCCCCTCTTGAATACTGTGGGGGCTATGTGGCACTTAATATTTTGTCTTCCAGTGTTGTCTCTGCTAGTGTAACAATATCTGGCATCTTAAACTGTATCATATCATTTAATTGCAGTATTTATTACTTTAACCCATCAATGTTAGTACAGTATGCCATTTTTAGGAAGATATTCACTCCACCTTTGTCCTTCACCTGTCTTTCCTCTAACAAGTTTATTGGATTTTTTCATGTACCATCTCACCGGCCACCCAATTCCTATCACCTTGTTGAAAACAAAAATTCTTCATTCTTATCCTCATTTAAAAATTTTGATTTGTCAAGTCTCAGTTTCAGCTTCTCTCCATCCACTTTTGCAAGATCTCATCTTAATGACCATAGTTCCTCTCCTTATCATTTTGCAATTTCCTGGCATTGCTAAGTATTTCTGTCATTTGCTTCACTCCATTTAACATCATCCTTATGGGCAAATCTTACCTATTACATTTTGCCTAGCCTCCAAAATTCACTTGACATTTTCCTTTGTTGAGATGCTGTTCCTCACAAATGGTTAAGAGCCATCTGTCTAACTACCCTTAAAGTATGTCAATGTCCTCCAGCAACCCTCTTACAGTCTGCCTCAATTTTTACTATGCTCATTAGCTTTGCATTATCTCCAAACATTAACCATGAATGGGCTTGCTTATTCTGATACATCATTTGCATAGATTAAGAAAAGCAACAGTTCTAAGACAGAGCTCTGTAAGATCATGCTATACACTCATTAAAGTTTGACTATCCTCTCTGAGTACAACCCTTTGAACTCTTTTGCCGAGTTCAGTGTCTACCTTGTTATAAATTCTCGTCTCACTATCTTAGATGCCACTTGTGAGTAACAGCATCTAAAGCTTTATCACAAGCTACAATAACTAAGGCCACTCTTCTCAGCATATTTTGCTGCTCTCAGAATGCAATAAAGTTTGCCAGGCATGATTTTACCCCTCTGAATCATTATTTATTTATTTCGATTATTTATTTATTTATTTCTCATTATTTTCAAGGTCACAGCACACCTTGCAGGTCGGCCCGTGCAATTTGAAGTTAGTGGCACATGCATAAGCATCTGCTCAACACTCAACTAAACTTGACATACACAGGCAACAAACTGTACAACTTGAGAGCTGGTGGAGAGATGTGCAAGAAGCATGTTGATCATGAAGGACTTCCTGGCACCATATCCTCATTCCCTGATCGGGCGAGGTGCTGGATCCCTGGATTTGAAAGTTCTTGTAATCCATCCTATCATTTTTCTTGACATAAAATTTGCTTGGTTATGCTCCCTAAACGTTAGGTCGTCAGACATCATTATTCCCAAATCTTTTACATGATGTTTTCCTACTATAGGGAGATTTGATTGTGTTTTGTACCCTACATTATGTCTAAGGTTCTCATTTTTACTGTACCCGAGTACCTGGAATTTATCACTATTAAACATCATAGTTATTTTCTCCTGCCCAGTCAAAAACTTTATTAATATCTGTTTGTAGCTTTTAAATGTCTTCAGCAAAGGTAATTTTCATGCTGATTTTTGTGTCATTTGCAAAGGATGATATGAAGCTGTGACTTGTATTTTTGTCTATATCTGATATGAAAATAAGGAAAAGTAGTGGTGCAAGGACTGTACCCTGAGGTACAGAGCTTTTTAACTGTGCTTGGACTTTATTTTTATATGATTGACTGTTACTCGTGGTGTCCTGTTTGACAGAAAACCGAGTGTCCAGCATCCTACTTAACAGTATCACTCGCTTTGGACACTGATCATGTCCATTTTTTTCTCTTGAGTCCTAGCCGTGGACAGGACTCGCGTCCACTACAAAAATATTTGTATAAAATTCATTTGTTATGCGATCAACCTTGGGATAGTTTCAAAATAAGCGCCTTTAGAGTGCGCACAATTTGATACCAAAATGAAAGATGTAACACGAAACTTGACGTTAAAACACTTGAAAGATTATAAATACGTTTTTGGGTCTAAATTTTAAATTGTAAAATATTTGTTAAAATTCGATTTATTGTGCTATTATTATGGGACTAGTTTTAGAATGCGCGCCTTTAGATTGCGAACAATTTGATACTAAAACGAGCGACGTAACATGAAAATTGATGTCAGAACACTGGAAAGATATAAATAATTGTGATGATGAGCATCCAAAATTAACCCTTAAACTGCGCATGGCGTATATATACGCCCTGAGTAACATGTCCCATTGTGCGCATGGCGTATATATACGCCATAGGGTGCCAGGCCTCATTCAAATGGCCTGCGGCTACGCGGGGTTCACAGTAGCTTCCTCAGGGCTCTTGTAAACAGATGCCATTTAAAAAAAAAATCGTGGGTAATATTCTCAGGTGTGAGAGGCACAATACTGTTGGAGCAACCAAGGCCGGCGCACGCAGCATGAGCGAACAGCATTGCGGTTCAGCTTGTGACCACAGCATTGCCGAAAAATGTGAAAATAAATATATAATTGTTATTATTTAGCGATGACAATATTACAGATGACCCATGACTGTGATATAAATAACCAGGGTTGTGATAATAGCAGGATTGTTGTAATAATTAGCGCTGTGGGAGGAGTGATGCTGAGAGATGGAGGGAGACAGCATCGTTTACTGACTGTGTGGCTAGCTGTTATTGTTTGCATTCACCATACCAGCTCAGTGGTTCTCTATGGTGAACACAAATGTAGATACTTATATATAATGTGTGTATTAGTGTAATAACAGTCTCCGTGGTGTAGTGGTAAGACACTCGCCTGGCGTTCCGCGAGCGCTATGTCATGGGTTCGTATCCTGGCCGGGGAGGATTTACTGGGCACAATTCCTTAACTGTAGCCTCTGTTTAACGCAACAGTAAAATGTGTACTTGGATGAGAAAACGATTCTTCGCGGCAGGGGATCGTATTCCAGGGACCATAGGATTAAGGACTTGCCCGAAACGCGACGCGTACTAGTGGCTGTACAAGAATGTAACAACTCTTGTATATATCTAAAAAAAAAAAAAAAAAAAAAAAAAAAAAAAAAAAAAAAAAAAAAAAACAGCAAAAGGATTATGCTGGGAGGAGCCATATGGGTGACGGAGGTGACGTCGTCTGCACGATTTGTCTAGCTGTTTAGAGGGTGGCCACTATGCTCTTTGGGCGCACTACAAGCTTAGGTGTACAGTTACGGTGCATAAAACATGTAGATATTTATATATAATATGTGTATATAGGGTAATAACACTGCAAAAGGTATTGTTGGGGGAGAAAGTTTAGTGCGTGTGACCTTGAAAGAGTGAGGGAGCCGCCAGCCGCCATCTGTGTATAGTGACGACTCTTGGTGCCTGAACTAACTATATCAGCTTAGCTGTACAGTTGTGGTGAACAAAATATATACATACTTATATATAACGTCTGTATATAGTGTAATAACACCACAAATGGTATTGCTGGGAAAGAAAGTTTAGTGCGTGTGTTGAGGGAGTGGCAGCGAGTGGCTGGCTGGTGTGTGGCGGCAACTCTTCGTTGCTTTTCGACTCTCAATACCAACTTAGTGGTTCGTTATGGTGACCAAAACATGCAGATACTTATATATAACCTGTGTATAGAGTGTAATAGCAGCAAAACTATTTGTTTATTGTTTTATAAACATAATAATTGAATCACTAATATGCACATCATACTTTTGAGTATAGCGATTATTCACCACTTTTATTATATAAATATATTACAATACACACTATTGAATAATATTACTGCAAAAAAACTAAGAAAAAATCAATCGGAGACATTGAAACAATTAGGTAATAATATCTTTGTGGCAACTCCCATCTGTCAGTGCGGGTGACGCTGACCAGGTCTGACGACCGCTCTGTCAACGCCCACTTTTTGCCAGACTTCCTCGGTCAATTGCGCCCAAAACATGTCGCCTACGATTTTTTTTTTTTTTTCCGTGCTCAGGGGACACAAATTAACATGTTTAGAAGACGAAAAAAAAATTTTGAATTTTTTTTTTTCTTGCGCACAGGGGTGTAAATGTCCCAAGGACCCCTGAGCAGTGTAAGGGTTAAATTACTTGTTAAAATTCCAGTTATTGCTCTATTATTATGAGACTAGTTTTAAAATGCGCACCTTTATATTGCGAACAATTTGATACCAAAACGAGCGATGTAACACGAAAATTGATGTTATCAAACTGAACGAGTATACACATTTGGTTGCGGTGTGCAAATTGGTGCTCGTTCACGGGTAACTTGAGGCTTTGCTGCGGGGAATCTCGCCAGGCTTTTGGACTGTATATGCATATACACCTGCAGGGAATTTAATTGTGAACACAATGATATCAAAACAAACGACGTAGCACGAGAATTAAGGTGAGAAAACTGAAACGAGTATACACATTTTACTGATTTTGTGCGCTCACGGGTAACTTCTCTGACTTTAGGCTTTGCTGTGGGGAGTCACGCCGGGCTCTTGGACATTATATGCATATACACCTGTAGGCAATTCCATTGCTAACAGAATTATACCATAACGAATGACGTAGCACGAGAATTAAGGTGAGAAAACTGAAACGAGTATCCACATTTAGGCGTCGCCGCACGCTCGCCCGCATCATCCGCCCCATGACCTCAAAGTCTGCGGCGCTCATGCGCCGTGCGCGATAGTGTTAACCGGTTACTTCCATTGACTTTATTTTGTGTGCTATCACTCCATGGTCACATTTATCGAAAGCCTGCGAAGTCTGTGTATACCACATCAGCATTCTGTTTTTTTCTTCTAATGCCTCAGTGACTTTGTCGTAGTGATCAATTAGCTGTGAGAGGCACGATCTTCCCGCTCGAAATCCATGTTGACCTGGGTTTACTGAAGTACTGAAGTACACGTAGGTGCCACGTATAACACTGAGGTAAACGTAGGTGCCACATTTACCAAACACTGCGGTACAGGTTAAGAGTAGTCTATAGGTAAAAATGTTGACAACTTTGAAATGTACAGTACAGTATTAGGTCTTGATTTTCATCACATATTGAAATCTTACAGTTTATTACATTTTATTTATTTTATAGGGCCTAACAAATTCATAAACGCTACTTACATTTGTTCTAAAGAAATTACAGGAAATTACTGCATTTTTCAAAAACATTATACAGTAATTTGGGAGCTTTCTAAAAATGTTACCTAGACATTACTAACCTTTCTCACATAGATTTCTCCTGACGTGCGATTCACCTCAAACTGAGACTGATCTGGGTTGTCCATATAAATACCCTGACCTGTTAGGAAGTATACAATATCCTGTACACGGTCGCGGTCACCATCTGTGGCTGTAACCTGTTTAAAATTAATACAGATATTAGGAATTATTTTATCACAAGACTACCATTATTATGCGAGATTTCTCACTAAACATCATTATAATCCAAACAAATCAGTATGTACGATTTCCTACATAAATGTTGTACTGTAAAACTGTAACGAAGATTATTTCATTCATATTACATTTTCATATATGTAAATAATATGTACTAAAAGTGAAGACTAAATAAAAAAAACTCCAACTAAAATCTAAGGAACAAAAATGTTTAAGTGGGGATAACATTGCTCATGCAGTTGAAGCCACATCTAACATGAATTAAGCTATTGTCATGCATTTAGGGTGGGTCCTGAGAGTTATTTTTTGGAGTCACTGATAGCATTCTCACTGCCTTCAAGCACCAATAGTGCTGGGAGAGAGGTAGTTTTCAATAATTCATAAATATAAAAGTAAGCTATTAGATAATGCTGCTTCTCGATCAACAAAACCATGAAGATTAGTTAAGCATCACACACATATATTATATATACATAGTGTATATATTTTAACTTCAAGTAATCCTTCCTCCTACATACATACTGTCCCAACTCTAGCCTGGTTCATTTACATACATAAAATACTGTCAACAAGTAATTTAGTAATCACCCACAATCTATAATAAGTAATTTACATTTTCAAGTTTAAATTATTAACATCCACATTTTGGATTAGAAATTAATCCTGTATGCCCGATATATGATGTACAATTTTCATTTTGGTGAGAATATGTAAATTTTACAGTCAGAACATGTGTGTTAGTGGCTGTGCAAGAATGTACCACTCAATCATCAATATATGTACTTTCTCAACCCATTGTACCTCCTTGTATATAAATAAATAAAGGCTCCTTATATTAACTCAAGCTGACGACTGTAGTAGAGAAGTACTGTACTGTACTGTACACTAATAAATCAAAAGTGTATACTACTCTCATGTAGGCAAATGTATTTTAAAGTACTACACTCTATTGTTAGGAATCCACCATCTTAATCTCAAGAAAATATATCTGGGTAAGCAAATTTGGCTTTAAAATTACTTAATTTGCTTAATTCATAACCCAGTCTTAACTTCTTTAATCCATAATCCAGTATCTTCTAAATTTGGCATTGAAATGAACCTTGGAGGCTAACTGTAGTACACTCGAATATTGTTACAGTACCAATATTAAATTATGATTTTATACCGTTATAATAAATGTAAAACTAAATAAACATTGCAAAATTAAAATATTTAGACTGGTGCTCAAGTAAACATTTATGTAAACAAAAACTGATTTTCCAACTTTTCTTAGGAAAGAAAAAGTAATATTGCACTGAGAAATGTTTGATCTTGGCATTTACATAAAGCTTATATTTAAGATTTGCATATGGAAGTTAAAAAATTAACAACATTCACACCTGTTGCTTGGTAAACTGAAATACTGTACAGCAACAATCACAGAATCAAGTCATAATCAAGCCTTGGAACATATAGTAATCGGCCACATTCTGTCTATACAATACTCGTCATTACTGCTTTCTGCTTTTTCCTCTCCCCACCCCTATTAAAAAAAAAAAATGTCTACCTTGAGCAGTGGTATAGGCAAACCGTCACTGCGCTCCTCTTCAATAGTAGCTTCATAATTTGGTCGGTCGAACTCCGGAGGGCGATCATTGACATCAGCGATGTGGATGATTACTTTGGTTGTTGCCTCGTTGACACTATCGGTGGCTACTAGACTTAGTTCGTACTGAACCACCAAACAAGCATCCGGGGAACGAAAACAAAAACAGTAAACATGATACTTCATTGGCATGCTTACTGCAGTAAAACAAAACTCAATGTAAAATCAAACTGCTATCACATCGCCTGCACATGCACCTCACTGGAATAAAAGGGGGGGGCAAAAAAAATGTGAAAGTGCATTATAGGGATAAAAAAATAACGAGTTTGGAAGGATTGTGGGCATGCACATTGTGGGGGGAAAAAACAGCAGTATATAAAATTGTTGTGTCTAAAAAGCCTAGATTATAATTTGTTATAGTCATGAGCATGACATTCATACTAACATATGTCACATTGCTTAAAAAAAAAAAACACAGCTGTAATGATTTGGAAAAGACATAATTTAAGATCTAATCTAGCATGCTCATGACTCTAACAAGAAACACAGAAAACTAATACAATCAGGAGGGTCACAAATAAGTAAGTGGTGCAGGAATAGAGCAAGCCAGAGAAAGATTCTAAGAGACAGAGACCGTGAGGATATTTTTAGGCAGGCTGCGGTCATCTTCCTCGGTGATCTGCGTTTCATACAGAGGCCGATCAAACATGGGTGGATTGTCATTCACGTCTTTGACGTGAATGACAACTGTGGTGTGGTTCTCGTTACGGTTGTCCGAGGCCACCAGTTTGAGCTCGTACTGGACAAATAGAATTCATGTTAAATACACAATAACTGTGGACAGGCTTTCACTTACATTATCAACAGTGTTTTCTGAAAATTTAAGAAAGAATAATACAAGAGAGAGAACATAAAAGTTATAAGAATTGAACAATTCCAAGAACTACATTCTGAAAAGATAATGAAGTTGGTCTTGAGGAACACACACACACACACACACATATACAAGTGTTCATATCTATTAAATAATTTCCACCTACTTCAAGTTCCTTGTTTTGGGTAAAGCTACAAATTAATGAAGGTAGGATAATATATTTTACAAGACATATATATATATAATACACAACAGGTAGACTTGGCAAAAATCAAACACTCCTATTGGTGGTTCAAATATGGCTTGTGTATTTCGAGGATTAATCACAAAAACAGTTTAGATGATGCTCTAAAGCAGGTGGTCCCAACCGGAGGGTGGCATCCCCCCTCCCCCAACGGGGTCATGAAATGTTTTCTGGTGGTCATGGAACCTAAATTCTGAGTACTGTACAGTACTAGTACAGACGGCCACGTGCTTTGTGAACACCATGTATCCAAAAATACCCGTTTCTTGATTGGGGTTGGTTCGGATACCCGCGTTCGGGAAGAGCAAGGGTCACATAAAATGGTTCGGTATATCATCAGGCACCACCATGGTGGTGGTGTGGGGATGGGTGGGAGATGGGCCTAGTTTGCCCACTGACCATGTCATGCACCACTCTAGTGCCTTCTACCCTGTGACATCACAAATTCAGAGCTCATTGTTCCCATTGTTTTGATTTATCATGAGACGAGTGTTCATTCCGTGACTTTGTTGGATATACTGTAACGTCAAATCTAGGAACATCCATGTATCATGTCAGCTCCAAATGTACCCATTGTGTCAGTGAAAGCGTCAATAAGCGGGATACTTACAAGAAAGAGGTCAGTGATGATATTTGTGAAGAAAGTTGAAAGCAAGTCGAGTCGCATTTTTCTATGAAATTGAGATCGTAACTCAAAAAATTTGTAAGGGCAGTTGTAAGTAGAGGTGCCACTGTATTCTGTTTAGGCAATTCTTTTTTTTCAATTATGAAAGTGTGGCAAGGGATCGCAGGTCTTTTGAGTAAAGTACTCTATTAGAAAATACAAGAGTCCAAAAAAGGTTGGGAAGCCCTACCCTTTAGAATATTTTTCTATGTCAAATATTCTCTTGTTGTATCTGTCAATTATTTTGGTGATGGTCTGGATGCGAGTAGAAATTGAAATGAAGATTTTTTGATGAACCTAATTGATTGTGCATTATCATTAGCCTTGAGAGATGATGTCTTGTCTCTCAACAACACACTGGTAGGAGACAGGCAGGGCTTGAGTGTGTGTTGGGAGGAGATGGGCAAAGTGTGTATGTGTGTTGGGAGGAAACAGGCAGGGCATGTTGGTGGGATGTGGGAAGTGTGTGTCATCTACATCCATCTGCCAGTGTGGCAGATGGATGTAGATGGTGTGAAGATATTTGCAGAAATGAAGACACTATATATTGAAGACTTAAAGCAATAGGCAAGATGACTAGGGGTGTATGTGGAGAGAGAGAGGTAGGGGGCAATGTGTAGGGGAAGATAGGGAGGGTGTATGGGTAAGACCTAGACACCACCAGTTATCCCATCTACTTTACTTTAGTAGTACAGTACTCTAGTACTACTTTATACTTCATGACCCACACACAGTACAGTGGTACCTTGGTTTATGAATAAACTCTTGCTTTATTAAAAAGCTTATTGACTCTTTACAAACTTTTCGGGTTACGAGCCCGATTTCTTCGGAAAATTTGAATCGGGTTACGAACTTTACCTCGGGAAACAAGTTCGTTGATACGTGTATAGCCAACCTAGGGCGTGGTGGCACGGCGATTGCATCTCAGTTTCCCAGTGCCTCCCGCCTAGTGACTATCCTGCCTGAATTCTTTGCAAGAATTTACATTTTTTTTTTTATTTTTTGCTATTTGAACATAAAAGTTGTTCTTATATATCTCGCCATGGGTTCTAAGAAAGCCAGCGGTAAGGTTCAAGGCACAAAAACACATGTAAGAATGACCATAGAGGAAAAAACAAGAGATCATTCATAAACATGAAAATGGTACACTTGTTATTGAACTAGTTAGGCAGTATAACAAATCTTCAGGGGAGGAGGCAGTAGAGGATGTCCCTTCCTCATTAAGTAAATGTGTGCAGTATGGGAAGAACTGCAAAGTTTTGCTGAAAAGAATCCCCCAGATAAAGCTTTAGCAGGCCATTGCATTGATCTTCTTAATGACAATGTGATGTCTCACTACAGACAACTGTTACAAAAAAGGGAAAAACAATCTTCAAGAAAAACAATGAGAAAATCATGCAGTGAGCCAGAAGCAGGTCCTAGTGGTATGGAGGCAAATTGTGCCTGAGAATGCACCCCAGAGAAGTCCTCACTGCATGATGTTATAATGGAAGGGGACTCCCCTTACAAATAGTAACACCTCTCCTCCTCCCCCCTCCTCACCATCTTCCATATGCCAACAGGAGTCGTCAGTAAAAGTAAGTAATAACATGTACGTACTTTTATAGTGAAGATTTGGGTGAATATGGGTATAAAATTTACTTTGAAGTTAATTTTTGGGGGAGTCAGGAATGGATTAATTCATTTCCCATTATTTCTTATGGGGAATTCGCTTCAGTTTACAAATTTTCGGGTTACGAACCGTCTCCAGGAACGTATTAAATTTGTAAACCAACCCTGTACTACCAACTAGTTTATACTTCATGACCCACACACTCCGAGAATGCTATATTTAATTACTCTAATGTTTGATAAGTATTTGAATGTTGAAATTTATATTATTGATGTCTAATTTAAAATATAAATTAAAAACTCTAAGTTTTAAAAATATTTTTAACAAACACATTAATGTTAACTTCTATGATGGTAAATAATGACCTGCTGTGTAAACTACCTGTATTAAATGTAACTCAAACTTTCATAATTCAGCTTTTAAAACACATTACTGTACTGTACTTTATATTAAAAGACACACAAAACTTACGTACAAAAATTCTAATTTTTAACCAACAAATAATGTTCATGTAAGCAAAGACTAAAAGAACTCACCCTCTTCCTAGTTTCATAGTCTAGAGGTCCAGCAACATAAATGGCACCAGTCATGTTCTTCACAGCAAAGGCTCCACCAATGTTGCCATTTGTGATTTCATATCTGATGCGAGAAGCTGCAAGTAACAAGAACATTAATCAAGTGATAATATGTACCATTAAAATGTCTAAATTTCATGACTGGAGGTAAACAATATTTTAACTACTGTACTGTAGCTTAATGAAATTTAGTTCATCAGCACAGTACTTTAATTGCTATTTCTATAGAGCTCCAATAAAATTTATGTAATAAAAAATACACTTTTCAAACTACCTGTACCTTGCTAGATGTGAAGACCTAACGTCTTCAAACACATCTAAATTTGAGTAACAATGGCTTAATGACTAAAATCAATCATATGCTGACAAACCTAAAACAAATTTATTTAAACATGGTCCAGAACAAAATTTATATAAAAAAAAAGGGAGCATGTTATTCAAACTATCTAATTTCCTGACATCTTGTTCCTTCCATGAAGTTCCCTTAGTGGGAGGTAATCATGAGATACAAGTGTACATGTCCTTATGGTGGGGTTCATTCCCTTATGCTCTATGTGACATTTTCCTCAGGAGCTCCTTCACTTCCTCCTTCCACAATGTAATTAATATCTATGTCTTGCTCCTACAGGTGCAGGTTAGAAGAAGAATACTACTGGCACTTTTCTCTTGTACAGCTCATATCTTATCTCTCCCTCCAATGTGTCATCTTTACACAACAATAAATTAAAGGCACATTAAGTATGTCGATATGATCAACATGGGCTATAAATATAAAGCACCCGCATCACAACAGGTAATGTAACAAAACATATTTCTCATTTACTATACTTAACCTTTGCTCTCCACCCAATTTATACTTGACAATGTAGAACAAAATAAAAAAATAAATAAAACCATTATTCCTTTTAATAATATTAAAATATATTCCTTGATCACAGGAAAAATAACACAAATTTATGCAACTTTCACCATAGTGAAGTAGTGAAATCTCACAATGACATCATGATTCATGAGCATTCATGGAGCAATCATCCCAGGAAGGTCACTTAGGGCCAAGCATCAGGTAGGAGTTAATCCAAAGATATTTATGAATATTTATTTCAATGATTTGTTTTCTCTTATTTTTTGCAGTAATATTATTGAATATGGCGTCGTTTGAGAAATGTATATAACAAAATGTGGAACACTGGAAAGATAAAATATATTTGTAACTAATATGCACACAATATTATATTCTTAGAATAGTAAAACATACTGTTTTTGCTATTATTACACTATACACATGTTATATATAACTATCCAAATTTTTATTCATCAGGAGCTTTTTGGTGAATGAACCACAAAGCAGTTCACGTGGGTGTAACCTACGTGTAACAATGTGGTAACCAGTAATCAGAGTTCAGCCTAGCCCCACATATTTTGCATGACGTCCTAACTCTATGCATTGGATATATGTAATATTATTTTCTTCATATATTTAGTGCTTTTCCTAAGGTTTTCAAGTGCAATGATGCATTTGGCTGTCAATAATATCTGTATCACAGAACATGCAGAACATACAGTAGGTATGTAGATATATTCATGTCACTAATATGTGCACAATATTATGTTCTTTGAATAATAACACACACTTTCTGTTGTCATAATACTGTATACACACTTTATATATAACTATCTTCATTTTTATGCACCACAAAGAGCTACGAAGCAGTTTTGGTGGATGTGGCAATCTCGTAAACCAAGCACAGCACAGATCTACATGCCAGTCACTTGCCAACAACACCTAACATAGTAAAAATGCATCTATAATACTATGCACATTGCTAACTCTAGCCACAACACTGCTGTTATCATCAGAATCCTTGTCATTAATCCTGAATATGAATTATTTTTCCACAAATTTATTTTCTAAAGGAACATGAGGTCCCATTTTATGATGAGTGGATCCAGGTTATCTTGAGGTTATCTTGAGATGATTTCGGGGCTTTTAGTGTCCCCGCGGCCCGGTCCTCGGCCAGGCCTCCACCCTCAGGAAGCAGCCCGTGATAGCTGACTAACACCCAGGTACCTATTTTACTGCTAGGTAACAGGGGCATAGGGTGAAAGAAACTCTCCCCATTGTTTCTCGCTGGCGCCCGGGATCGAACCCGGGACCACAGGATCACAAGTCCAGTGTGCTGTCCGCTTGGCCGACCGGCTCCTTGGATGCATCAAACCAGAGCTATATGCTATGGATGTCTGCCTTATGCTGCAAATATTGTAACCAGCAATAGGTTCACCGATACTTGAACCTTGTACATAGTTTTTTTCACAGAATTTTCTATATGAACTATCATTGTTAAATAATTGCAGTTATTTATTTAATTATTAAATGATGCTGTGGGCACACGCTGCAATGCAGTGCTCCGAGTTGCTACTGCATGCACTACTCATGATCTCTCTCTCTCTCAGTACTGAGGGCCCCCTCACACCCAGCAGTTGTGCCCACGTTTTAGACGGTGTCGGTTTACTGGAGACCTGAGGAAGCAGATGTGAGCCCCTTGTATCCACTAGTTTTAAATCTTATGCATTATTTAAAACCTGCCCACCCTTGATGCACAGTTTACAGATAATCAGTGTGGCAAAGCCAAACCATGTCACAGACTGGAAGAGCCAAGTCAAAAACATATACTGTACAGAACAGCACTTGAAATGTCATCAATTTCATTGTACATACAAATTGAACACTATCAAATGCTTTGATATTCATTTTAGCATTAAACTGAGGTTTTACTTATCAAACAACTTTGCTTTACAACAGCAGAAGTCTATATCAAATATCTACATACAGTAATTAAGCACATTAATTAAATCACAAGGAAGTTGTATGTACATGGATTGTATTTTCAAGGCTCTAACCAGCTTGATACCTAAATGCTATGGATACAGCATACAAATAGCAGCTCTAAACTGAATTCTCTGATCTCCCCAGGAATCTCCACCTTCACCATCAAGTACCTGGATTGTACCTGGAAGGGGGTTCTAAGAGTTCTTCTACTGTACTTCCCAAGCTCGCCCCGAGGCCATCTTATCATTTTTCTAGCCGACACTAAATGTGTTTGGTTATGTGCCCTAAACGTTAGGTCTTCAGACATTATAACTCTCAGATCATTTACATGTTGCTTTCCTACTATGGATAGATTTGATTGTGTCTTGTAACCTGTATATTATTTAAGATCTTCATTTTTACTATGTATGTACCCAAGTAACTGGAATTTATCACTGTTAAAACATAACATATTTTCTGTTGGCCAATCGAAAACTTGATTAATATCAGCTTGTATTTTTTCAATGTTTTCTGTACAAGTGATTTAGGCTGATTTTGTCTCATTTGCAAAAGATGATGAAGCTGTGATTTTTTTGTGTATATCTGATATGAGAATAAGGAAAATCAGTGGTGTAAGGACTGTACCCTGAGGTACAGAGCTTTTGACTGTGCTTGGACTACTTTATTTGATTGACTGTTACTCTCTCTGTTCTATTTGACAGAACACTGAATATCCATCGCCCTACTTTATCTATTATTCCAATTGACCTCAATTTGTGGGCTATCACTCCATGGTTACATTTATTGAATACTTTTGGAAGTTCGTGTATACCATATTGGCATTCTGCTTTTCTTCTAATGCATCAGTGATTTTGTCATAGTGGTCAAGTAGATATAAAAAGGTATGATCCTCCTGCTCTAAATCCATGTTTGCCTGGGTTGTAGAGGTCATTGGTCTCCCTAAAACTGGAGAGCTGACTCCTTATCACTCTCTAATTTGTTTTTGTTTTTTGTTTTTTATCATATGGGACACTAGTGCAACTGGTCTATAATTCTTAGCTAATGCTTTGCTCCCTCCCTTGCGTATGGGAGCTATATCTGCTCATTTGAGCGAGTCTGGTATTTCCAGTGTTCAAGCTTTTTCTCTACAATACACAGAGTGCTTGTACTTCTGGCACTTTGCATTTCTTTATTTCTTTATAAACATTTGAGTCCCAGGAGTCTGGACCCTGGGCTGAGTGCATGGGCATGCTATCGATTTCTCTTTTAAAATCTTCAGGATTCGTGTTGATATCAGTTACATTTTTAGAGGTTTGGATATCACACAAATTAGCTGTCCAGATCTTCCAATTTCATGCTGCTTATTGGAGTGCTAAACATGTCCTCACACTGCTTTGATTAGAATTTCACTGATTTCTTTGTCATGATGTGTGTATGAACTTTCACTTTTAAGCACTGGTCCAATACCGACTGAGGTTTCTTATTTTGATTTTGCACATATCTCATAGAACAGAGAGACCTGAAACAATCATCCCTGTTTAAATTATTCTTTCTTTGCAGGGACAGTTGTCTCTGCTGCTAATGCATTTTTGTTACTTTCCTTCATCTGTAGTGCCGACTGCATTCTCTTTCTGCTTTTCTGCAAAGGGACATGTTTCCAACAGACTTCCTTGCAAACACACAATGTAACAGTCCCTATTGTTACCTTATTACAAAGTTTTTGTTAGATAATTGTTACAACTTGTTCTAACGTTGTAGCAATGTTGTAGTTTCATCATGTGTTTGGCAAGTATATATAGGCATGCATTGGTAGTCAGTTGTTCCATTTCTTGCATGGGATTTTTATTACTTACTACAATTCCCTATTGAATATTTGTAAGTTTCATGTTTATTTTGTCCCAGTCTATCCTTTTATTAGTAAAACATTTTTTTGAATAACCCCTCTCATTTGATAATTTTTTTTTTAGATCTATTATGGGTATTTATGTCAGTTGCACTTCAATGAGCTTGTGATCTGACTATGTGGTATCTCAGACTAATACCTTGAGGTTGTCTTGAGATGTTTTCAGGGCTTAGTGTCCCTGCGGTCTGGTCATCGACCAGGCCTCCTTGTTGCTGGACTGGTCAACCAGGCTGTTGGAAGCGGCTGCTCGCAGCTCGATGTATAAGTCATAGCCTGGTTGATCAGGTATCCTTTGGAGGTGTTTGTCAAGTTTTCTCTTAAACACTTGAGAATATTGTCAGTAATATCCATGAATATTTCTTCATTGT